ACCGCTTGCGGACGAATTGCTATTACACCATTACCATTTCCACCACCACTACCACCGCCAGCACCACGACCACTACCACTATCGCTGCTGCTTCTATTATTATTATTATTACTACTACTACTACTACTACTACTGCTACTACTGCTACTGCTGCTACTGCTGCTGTATTACAACCACTACAATTACAATTAGTTACTACTGGACCTCTCCATCTCCACCTATATCATATCCGTATCTACGCCTACATCCGTAGCTATTCTAGCTATAGCTGTAGAAGCTATTTGCGCCAAGCTGTTGGCGACCTCGCCTTGGGCATCCGCACTGCAATGAGTATCGCGGAGTCTCGCGGCGCCAGCGCATCGGGTGCTCAACGACTTGCAAGCACCATACTTGGCTATACTTGGCTCAATCTGGCAGGAGGAGAGACGGTAGTTGCAGCTAGACCATGGCAGCCAGTGGCCTGATTTTTCCATCCTAAGCGGCCAGATAAAGAAGCTTCCAAACTCGTGTCGGCCCTCAACAGCCTCAACATTGCATGCGATGCACCTCGTAGTGTTTGTTTTCAAGACTTCGGGTTCGCTGCGGGGCTGTCGCCATGAATCGCAGTGCTTCCTTGCTTTCCTATTTGTCAACAGGCAATTTGGGGCAGAGCTGCGCGGGCACGTCCTGTAGGGATCCGAGAATGCAAGAGCTCGATCTCGAAGATATGTAGGTTTTGCCATGGTGGGAAGCCGGAGAGATCGTTGCGGCTCCAACGCGCGATCAGACTTTCGAGTCCTTGAGCAGACAGTATCACCTGAACATGAAAGATCTTCGAAACTCAACCATGAATCATATTCGAGGTGCATCTTAGCTACCACACACCATCATCTAAACCAAGCAGATTCTGAGAGTTCGCAGTTTCATCGAGTTGGTCAGCTGGGGATCAGGAACCTGAGCCGTGATTGCTTCCTCTCCGCTGTCTGCGTGAAGTCGCCTGTCACGACATTGAATAATGCTTCCCCAGCGGCATCTCGTAGAATTATGTGCCTTTCGCGAATGGGCAACTGCAGCCCTTAATTCGCGACCCGTCGCTTTCAACAGAGAGTGGGGCTCCCAAGTTGTTAAGGGAAACTGAGAGCACCGAGCCCCCGTCCCCAGTTTTGGAATCGTTGTGAGTCCAATGCGGAGTCTTGAGCAGGTTTTGAGCCCTTACCCCAAACGATCCCGGGCCCTGCTTCGCGCGAGTGTGCGAGTCGAAGCCTTCTGAGCCCTAAAGCCTCGATGCAGACTCCCCGATTTCTTTGGGCATCCCTCTCGACAACAAGCATGGGCCGCTCGAGGAGTCGGTGGGATCCTGCTTTTCTATTGTTAGGATCTTACATCATGATATGTTGTACATATATATATATATATTTATTTATTTGTTTATTTAGATACATATTTATTATACAACAGTATCACATCACCACGCGTATTCGCCATCGTCATGCAAGCAGGGCCATTTTTTGACAGCTGCGGTGTGGCTGGATTTTGCGGTTTTCTGCGCTTGCAGCAGAGGTGGTCATCGCAGGAGCAGGCCCGTGGCCAGTGTAGGTATGGGGCAATCCACGTGTTGGGGTGTCGCTGGCCGAGCATCTAAGGCGGAAACCCCAATCTGAAGGCTTAATCTTCTCCCACCCGGCCTCATCGAAATGCTTGCATCCTCAAATCGCGCGATCTCGCTAAATCCCTTCCCCAGGAGATCGTCGAGTTGCACATGCTGCGAATGATGAGCGACCTCCGCGTCTGGTTTGCAAGCCGGAAGTTGTGTTGGTAGCTTCGCTGTTTCACTGACCTTGATGTTGGCGCTAAACGGAGATGTTGTGATTGCTTGACGATGTGTGCCTGCAAATTTCTTTATCTCGTAGTCTTGGCAGGGTGATTCTCTCTGCGTGGTCTATCTATGCTCTTCTGTCATGTTGACGGGAGTTCGTATCGTCCTACTTTGTTACCGTCACTAGATTGGTCCAAAACTTTCGGTCGAGAAGCGCATGCCGTATGGATCGGCCTTGTACTTGTCATAACTTTTCAGGGTTGTTCAGGGAAGAAGCGCCCAGCTTTTCGTTCGTTTTCAGTTTGTCC